AATAATAATAAACGAACTGAACAAAGTTTATATGTACAGTACGTTCACGGTTATTGGAAAAGGGGGAAAATATTTTTCATTTTACAAGAAAAAGGCATTCTTAATTAAAATTTTTGCTTGGCTTTAAAATGCGGTTGGCATGGACAACTATCATTTTGCATGTACAGGGTGACCAGAGAATGGGTAAATATAAAAATTGTTCAGGAATAAATTGCCTATTTAAAGATATGTTAAAGACAAGCAAATATTTGAATCAAGGATGCCTTTTTCTCGTAAAATGAACAATAAGAATGTTTTACTATCGTTTCTATCAAAGTAGGCCGATTCAAACACAAATTGAAATTGTAATACTTACTATACATTTCAATTCTAAACAACTTTTCTTAATAACATGTCTGTATTGTTTAAAACAAAGACAGTTTATTCTTGAACGATTTTTATGTTTATCAATTTTCTGATCACTCTGTACATGCAAGATTAAAGTTCTCCATGCCAACCGCATTTTAAAGACAAGCAACAATTTATCATGAAGAATGCCTTTTTGTAGTAAAATGAAAAATAACAATATTTTCCCTCTTTTCCACTCTAACCGAGTATAAGTGTAAAATAATATCTAAATAATAAACATAAAGTGAAATGTTATCATACTCGTAATATTAGGTATTATACTTTGCATGAATAAATAAAACAATATCCGATAACTTTGAAGGTTAGGATTACCGAAGATGCGAAGTTGCAAGTAAAATTAGGAACGAAATTTTTACATAAGAAAAATTGAACAAGAAAAATACAGGTGAACAATCGCTTAAAGTTGTACCATTTTTTACCGGACACCCTGCACGTCATCGTTCAATGTCGGATACCGTGATTTGTAATTTATCATTATCTCCAGTAAAAGGGGAGTCCTTTTATTGTAATTTCTTATTAGTATAATACGTTCCGTTCAGGGCGTTGCCGATAGGTTTGGGACGACGGCGACGCGACAGTCCAATCAACCAAACTCATTACTTTTTTTAGAAATCAAAGCGTCTTTCGAAAAACCTTTGCAGATATATAAGAGGATCCAAAAACTTGGTTCATGCTAGACTCCACTCCTCTTCTAAAAAAAAAACATTCGGTTAAAACCAGTGCTAAAAATTAATAATTTTTATTTTTATCGAAAATCGCATAAAAAAATAATTTACAGTGCTTTGGTTTGAGTATTTGACCTGTCGTTGTTTTCGGGCTAGGCTCTGTGAGGGCGGACCCGCTATTAGAGTCCCCGTCTTGATGTTCCTTTCGGTTCTTATTGTTAGACACTGGTAGCATTCAAACGTGTCTCCGTTATTCACGCGCAACTTTTCAGTTTTTACCACAAATGTTTCGCTGCGACTGCAACCAGATATTACCTAGTTGGTATACTGCATAACAACCCGCGAAACTGTCATAGGTACCTACTTTAAAAATATCAGTACGGGACTTGAAAGCCTTATAACCATTATTTTTTAAAATTTATAATTACTGAACTATACAGTTTCCAGACTGCAGTTTCGTTTGCTAATGTCGACTGTTCTTTTCGTAATTGATACTTACCGAATATATTTGTAAATTCAACAGACATTTCTATAAAAAAAAAATCGTAATTGTGAAATTATAAAGCCAAAAGATTCCACAAATAATGGTATAAGTTCTTCTGATATTATTCAGAGCTACATAACATCAAAATATATATTTTTTAATCAATATTTTGCATAAATTTCAGTTAAGCAATTTATTTTTTCAAATAATCAAAATTCTGAATTCTGAAGTCCTAAAGGTCATAATATGGCTGATACCTTCGTTATTGACATTGAACAAATGAAAGATCGTTAAAAAGTATTAGAAAATGTCATCTTGCCAAGTCGATAACATTAACCGTTTCCGAGGAGAAAAAACGGCTACGTTTTCCGTTTAATAAATACCTCCAAGTTATTATTGTAATATTTTGTTTATAATCTTGTTTTATGTTCGAGTCCTGCTTCATTAAGGCCGGTGTCCCATGCATCCGAAATCCGATGTACGATATCCGAAAATATTTTAATTCGTACGAATGATAATATTATAAATCACATGCATCCGAAATTAATCTCATAGAAATCAAGTACAGAACCATGGAATTTATTACAAGATGAAGATGAAATATTTTCAAATGACAACCATAGGTATATATCGTAGAAAATATACGTAGTATTATATTTTCTACATTCGACATTATAATGTAACATTTATTTGACTGTAAATATATCAAACAACAATCATAGTATGTTAAAAACTTAAAAAGTGAGGTTAAAAAATATACGATTTCGGATAAAAGTTAAAATTATTTCTACTTTTTCTGACGTCGTTTGAATTATGAAAATGAGCGGTAAAAATTTGAATGTATATTAACCAATAGGAACACTTTCGGACCTTCGTATCGTCGGAATTCGGATGCATGGGACACCGGCCTATGCTGCAAAATAGGCATACCACATACAGTTCAATCAATTTCATCGGGCCGGTGGGTGGTGAGATGAGTAAACGTAAGGGAGCGCGCATTTAGTTAGTTATTACGATTCAGTTGTGGAAACTAAAGTACAATATCGTGAGAGAGCAAAAATGGGCATTTAAAGCCATGTTTAATTTTTCGCCAGTCCGTCCAACATTTCGCCGCTACGCATTTTAGTTTCCTCAACCACATGAAATAAGTTGAACTGTACATATTTTTTAAAGTTGCCCAAGACATTAAATGCTTTTTTGTCTGAAACGGCTAATGTTATTGATTTGGATCAAGAGAACCTTGTAACATTTTCTCTTGATCTTTACTATACCGTTTTAAATATGAATCCAAAATAATACGTAGGCCAAAGAAGAAAATACAAAAAATGTTTCCCATCAGATTTATTAAAATTTGATTCATCATTTATTCATCATACAAATATATACATACATATACAATATAAAAAATATGCAATAAGAGGAGTTTCTTTTTCCTCAGAATCTTGGCAGACCAGCCCACCCCGCCAGACTGCCAGTCCAACCTCACAAACCACATTTACAGATCCGCTTGCAGGTAAATTTTTCCGTTTGCTGTTGTATTAAATATTTTTATATTACCATCGTGTGTGTGCGTGTTGTCATTTTTCGGGACATCTAACACACCCAAGTGCACTATACAGAAAAGTAAGCAAGGATTTTCAGTATCCAATTTTTAATGTTTCTTTAGATTTATATTTTTTACTCTTTATATGAATGTTAGATGTTGCCGAAAGCTATTATGTAATTTTTTAGCGTTTTTAAAATGCAGGCTTAATTCCATAGTAGAAACGGTTTTCGTTTTATTAAACATTATTTGCAACTTTTACTGGCATTTGTTGATAGAACCATTAAACTCAACACGTATAAAATTTAATATGAATGTTCTTGCATATTTGTAAGATTCCCTCTGATTAAAAAATGTCCAATGTTGAAAAAAAAAAGATAATAAAGTAATAGATTGCTATTCTTCATAATTTAATATGTATGTTAATTTTACGCTTTTTTGCAAAGTATGGCCACGTGCGTGACGGTTTTTCGGTAGAGATTATTTTTCTTGTAAATCGATATTATTTAACAACAGTTTCTTATATTGTAAATATTTTATGGATTTAGTAACAGTCAACTACTTAATATGTAACAATGATTATTTAATGTCTAGGTTTTGTTTCGCTTTTTGGTAAAAATAAAGTCTATCTATGTTGTCTTTTTTAAGTTTTCAAAAATTTCTACTCGAATTAAGTTGCCTGTCCCATGAAGTCACTTCACTTTTTTCTTTTTAAATTTATTCTAATAACAATATTAGTCTGTTTACATATTTTTGAGGTTTAATTTACGTTTATTTGTTATTACTTTTGTATATTTACCTCCTCCAGATTTAATGTTTCTATGAGTTAATATATTAATCAAAATTGTTGTGAAGAGTCAGTTCCAGTTGTAAAACAAACAAAAGTTCAGTCTCTATTATGCAGTTAATTTCAAAATCTAATAATAAAAATTTGAAGAGAGTAATTTTTTCCCTAAACGCATAAACCAAGTACGAGTATATGTGTATTTGCAAACATTTTTCAAAACTCATAGGAGTAGATGTTAAGCTTCTCTAGAGGGGCCGACTCCTGTCCTGTGTGGGATCGATGATTAAAAATTCAAAATATACAGGGTTAGTCAAAAATAAGTACTGATGCATGGTGACTATCGCTGGAATGTTTCTAATGCGTTTCAGAAAAAGAATACAGACAGTGTTTTCCTCGAAAAATCAGTTTTTCTTCGGGTAGGTATATCTTTTTAAATTGACTTGAATTGCTTTTTCTGATGATTACGCAATAATTTTTATGTATATCTACACTTTGTCTCGTTCAAATATCTTAATAGCATGAATGTAAATGGTAATAAAAAGATAATTATGAATCACTCTGTACAAGTACATACATGGCTTCTTTCATATTCTTTATAATTTGTGTATTCAAATATTTATTTTAGAATGGTGTTAAGTGAATAGAAATAATTCCTATTTAATTGAGCAACTAGCCTTTCCTTTCGTGTTTTTACAGCAACAAATGGAAAATGCACTTTTCACCCTATTACAAAATATTATATAGTACGCCATTTTCACTACAAAACGAATAAACACTGACATACATTTAATAAAAAATTCTGATAAGTGTCGATTGTTTTTATAAAAAAATGCTGTTTTTGCAATTCTTTCTCAAATCTAATTTCTCAACTAGATATCAGTTACTTGTTTTCAACTATCTGTAGTGTTTGTTCCATATTTTGTATCAAGTTTGTTATATTTCGGTCAAACTATTGAATGTGTGAAAAATAGAAAAAAAAAAATGGGAGGAGGATTATTCGTAATTGGCGATTCTTACAATCTGATAGGTATTATTATTTTTCAAAATAAAATATTGGTTACATTAATAATATGTACTTAAAAAGAACGAAAATGCCATTATAATAAGAAATATATATTAGGAATTAAATATTTTTGGAAATTATTATTTATTCAAATACTTTTTCCATTGCAATTGTATCATTTTTGTTATTACATACTTTGTCATGGGCACATAAAGATTATGAAAACTTTTTTGCTATAATAGAAACTGCCTTTGAATTGAAAAGATAAATGTTAAAAAATATCTATGTTAGAATAAAAAATTTTTGGTGAACTTTTCCAGAGTTTCATAATATGCATTTGCCTTTAACTAATATACTGGGTGTGTGGAACCATGAGCAGAAAATTTAGGGGATATTCTACGGTAATGGTAAATGTTCTGAACTTTTTTTTTTCAATTAACATTTTGCTATGACTTTTTTTTCTGTTGTGATTTTTTTAATTTTGTTCTTGTTGTTGATAATTAACTGGTCTTTAAGCTGAGAAATCGATTATTGGTTCTGATTTTTTTTTTCAAAAATTAAATGACTATTAAAGATTGATTGTCAAAAAAATTGTTCACAAAAGGTCCGCTGTTCTACTGTTGATAACATTGACTGTTTACGAAAAAAATTAATGCGTGGGCCACTTAAAATTTACCTATTTTGCAGTGGAAAATTGTGATTTATAAGTCGTTAGTAAAGGCTGATGCAAAATCAATTTTGATTATATTGTTAATAACCGAGAAAAAAAAATGCGCAAAATTAATTTAAAGAAAGTAACTTTGGATTATTTAACTGTGTTAAAGCTTTCAAAAAAATATCAAGTTATTCCTGCCATTATTTTAATAAACGGAATCGTCCCATATTATTATTTTTTTCCCGTTTTTTGGATACTCTATATATAATTGAAATAGAAAATTGTGTTGTAATAGAAAATTATAGATAAAATGTATTTTTTGCAGCGGGTGCATCTGGAACCCCCCTGGGGACGACGAGTACAGCTGTTGCGTTGCCTGGTGCAGCCGGTACAGTTGCCACGGTATCACCCCCCGTAGAGCCCCCGGTCTTCCAATGTCCACGCAGGCCCAATCTGGGCAGGGAGGGACGGCCCATCGGACTCAAGGCCAATCATTTCCAAATCTCCATGCCCAGGGGCTTTGTACACCACTATGACGTCAATATCCAACCTGACAAATGCCCCAGAAAAGTAAGTGCTTAACACTTTGTACAGTTGATATGGTTTTAACAAAAGGTGTTAGTGATGTTGGAAGTTTTGGGGTTCTTGCAATAATTAGCGACAGCGTCTCTTAGCATCTTCATCATTTTCTAAAACCCTCGACAAAAGACTGCTATAAATTCATTGAAAATAATTAAGCTTAAGAACGCCCCCCTTAAATCATCAACTGATGTCGGTTAGACATGTTGAAAGTCATTTTAAAAAATCAGATATTTTCTTGGATTAAACCAGCGGCTTTGGAACTTTACTTCATTTATTTTTATTTATTTCTTGTTTGTTTAAAACGATACAAGGAACACCCCCCCCCCAGAACTTGTAACATAAACACAGGAAATATATTCCACCAAAGAATGATATTCTTTTTTCACCTTCAAAATTAGGAGTAGTAGTTAATTTAGAGATAACGAAACCTATACAGTAATTTGACTGTCTGATAATTACCTTTATCCAATGTAATTCTTTAATGGATCTTATTTTCTTGAAACGGATGCATTTTATATTAAAGGTGAATAGAGAGATTATCGAAACGATGGTAAAGGCGTATGGTAAAATATTCGGCAACTTAAAACCCGTCTTTGACGGAAGAAACAATCTTTACACGAGGGACCCACTGCCGATCGGTAACTCCCGGGAGGAATTGGAGGTAACTCTGCCGGGTGAGGGTAAAGATAGATTGTTCCGTGTCAGCATAAAATGGGTAGCGCAGGTCTCTCTGTATGGTCTCGAAGAAGCATTAGAAGGCAGAACAAGGCAGATTCCTTATGAAGCCATATTGGCCTTGGATGTGGTCATGAGACATTTGCCATCTATGAGTTACACACCTGTAGGCCGGAGTTTTTTCAGCAGTCCCGAGGGATACTACCATCCTTTGGGTTAGTATTGTCGTTAGTAATGGGCATTTCAGAAAATATTTTCTTATTTTATGCATTAGAAGTAAATTCCCGGTATTTCATAAATCCAAGCAAATTTTTTGATAGTAAAACTAGAACTTGAAGATTAGATTTTTATTTGTTTACTTTTTCACACCTACTTAATCATTATATATATAATATTTTAAAATAATTTTTGGGAATATAGAAATAGAAAAATAGCAACTACCACCAACGACGTGTATGTTATAAAGCGAATGTGTAAAATTTTTCAAATACAATTTTTTCAGGCGGCGGAAGAGAAGTCTGGTTTGGTTTCCATCAGTCAGTTAGGCCGAGTCAGTGGAAAATGATGCTCAATATCGATGGTAAGTGTAAACTGATTTGCACTCGCGACACATCATTATATTTTTAGCTTGTTTTTCTGTACTTTTGTCGCCTAGCGGAGGAAACGTGATTTGTTGACGTTCTGCCATTTGTATTATTATAATTTTTTTCTTTTAGTTTCTGCAACGGCTTTCTACAAGGCCCAGCCTGTGATAGAGTTTATGTGCGAGGTGCTCGACATTAGGGACATCAACGAGCAGCGGAAACCACTGACGGATAGCCAGCGTGTGAAGTTCACGAAAGAAATCAAAGGACTCAAAATCGAAATCACCCACTGCGGGGCCATGCGGCGGAAATACAGGGTGTGTAACGTCACCAGGAGGCCGGCTCAGATGCAGTCGTAAGTCTTTGGATTCTCGTATCGATTTCGGCGGTTTGATTTTTTTTTTTTTAATCTTTTTAAGGTTTCCATTGCAGCTGGAGAACGGGCAGACTGTCGAATGTACGGTAGCGAAATATTTCCTGGACAAGTACAAGATGAAGTTAAGATACCCGCACTTGCCATGTCTTCAGGTTGGACAAGAACACAAGCACACTTACTTACCGTTGGAAGTTTGTAATATCGTGGCGGGGCAGAGGTGTATCAAGAAACTGACCGACATGCAGACCTCGACCATGATCAAGGCGACGGCGAGGTATGACGGCGTCTCTTATGTTCTTCCATTGCCGGTGTTCACTTCAAAGATAAACACTTCCGGCTCAATGCGTATTCTAATGGAATTTTTTATGTTTATTTACAAAAAGATAAAAAGAAATAATTCCACGATTGATTTGCGTACTCCATTTTGAAAGGCGGGAGTTATGTTAAAGAGTTAAATACAAATTTTAGGTCGGCCCCGGACCGGGAACGGGAAATCAACAACTTGGTGAGGCGGGCAGACTTCAATAACGACGAGTACGTCCAGGAATTTGGCTTGACGATTAGCAACAACATGATGGAGGTCCGAGGCAGGGTCCTGCCGCCGCCGAAGCTCCAGTACGGTGGTAGAGTGGCCTCACTCAGCGGACAGGTGGGCTGGCACGTTAGTTTCCAGTTGTATATTACTTTTTTAGTTTGTAGTTGAATGTGTTGGAGGTCGTCGTTGTTGTTTTCCGCTGTGGGAGTGGTGCGTCATATTTTCGGGCCGTGTCGGTTAACACGCGCCCTTTAGATTCATTATTTCTGTTCACTTAACCATAACTATAGTAGCATCGTATTCGATGCAAAGTAGAGCTAAAAGTTTTCGGCCTTTTATCAAAGGAAAATCGCGTCATCATTTTTAGGAGGCTGAAGATAAATCGTTTCAAATTTAAAATGAAATTCAATGTAAAATCTGAAATACCGCTGCATACGCACTGTGTTCTGGTAGTAGCTGAAGTCGCCCAGGTGCATCGAGTGTACGAACTGGTCGGTTGTTGCCGTCAATTAGAGAGCGCTTCTAAAAAACAAGTAAACAACAGTGGCGCGTACATAGGTAACATGTAGTACATATTATGTGGAATTTAGGCAACAAATTGGATTTATAATAAATTACATTTAAAATAAATAGTTTATGAGAATAAAGGAATTTTTGTAGGAACAAGGGTGCCAGACGTGAACTGATCCCCTCGTCCCTTCATAATGTATAAAGAAATTATTCAATTTGTAAAACCCTCAAAAACGTACTTCATCGGTTCCCTTGACAGGCAATGATTTATTACCTTGCATCGAATATGATCCTACTATGGGTAAGATTTATTAATACGTTGTTGACGCTACGTGACGGCGTGAACCACGAGACGGTGCCGCCATTACAGTTTGATTTGGACGTACGTATATTAGTTCGCGCTCGGAGAACTGAAATTTCTATTAAATATTTGAGGAATAAGGCTACGATTGAAGAAAAACAAAAAATATAAAAATCAGTTCGGAAATCGGTAGTAGTAGTATTGTGTATTACATATTTTTCTTTATTTCATTATTTATTCTATTCAACGGCAAAGTTACTCTCAATGAATTGCCCCATTATACAGGGTGTGGCGTGTATAAAAATTAAACTACAGCTTCCTAACGATATTTGTAATAGAAAAGTCTTATACGAAAAAGTTCTATCTTTGCGTTTTTTTTTTTTTCGTAAATTAAAGTTGAATTATAGATCAACATATTTTCTCTGGAACGGTCCTGTCCGTGTGCTGTACTATGAATTACGGGCTGTAGACCAGCCGCGAAAAACAAATTGCCGTTGAAAGATAAAAAGGTTATTCTCAATTTTTGGGGAATTTTTCAATGCAAAAGTTCAAACTGAGAAAAATGGATATTTAAAAAAAAAAACTGATATTGTCTAATTATAATAATAATTAATAGTAATTACTATCTTAAATGCGTTGTCGTTACTGCAAGAGTTCGCAAACAAAACCAAGCATCAGCTTCAAGTGTACGGCTTCCCAATTCTTCCACCGTGGCAATTGGGGTATTGTAAACCAATGACTTCAAGTGACTCCAAAGATCCAAGTCCATTGGAGTTAGATCGGGTGACCGCAGGACCAAAGCGTCCAATCCATCGCTGACGAAATAAGAATCTCATTTTTAATGTAATCGGCGAGCTGTTCTTATTTTTGTCTGGAATCTGTCACTTTTTAACACTGACGGGTCGATGGACGATGCTTAATATTTAATAATTAAGTGACTAATGACTTGGATACAAAATCGGTTGAATGAACAAATTCTTTGACAACGTAACCTAACCTTCTTTTGGTATTACTAGTATTAGATTATACCGACTTAAATTATAAGGTTGCGTCTCGGGTCGCATTTCCAAAGTTTTTAATAAATAACACGCGGTCGGCCAGGAAATTTAGTTTTCGTAATTTAGTTTTGAAAGAATAGTGTGTATACGGCAGCACCTAGTAAACGATGAAATCCGAGGTTTTTAAACAGAGTAGTTACAAGTTTTGGTCTATCGGGAATAACGGGTGGTGACAGATGCCCCATCCGGTGTGGAAAAGAAAACGGACCTAAGCAATTGCACACCTTTTCTATTGAGGCTAGTTCGTAACGCCTTTATAAAAGAAAGATGCTAAAAAAGATACCGTTCCTATTTCTGAATAAATACCTCGGATGGCATCAACAACAAAAGTGTCCGGTAGTAGTAAATCGTTCTCTATGTCTATTTTGATGTATGTTATTTTTATTCTTGATGCTGCACTTCTGCATGGAACGTGTGTTTTGAATGACCTTTATTTGTTGTCGCATTTACGTGGAAACTCACAGTGATATTCATAGTCGAGCGTTGAACAGTCGACAACGATTTTATGTTTCCCGAATAGCCATAAGGCATGCGTCATTCGGCAAGCTCTCCATGCGCTCTCCGGCATTCGCAGGCGGACTATGAGCATCACGGTTAGTGTTGCTTTAATCATGGCAGTCGTTGGTTTGTATACCCTTTGGGACAATTTACAGAAAGCGCGTGATTAGAGACAAATACCAGCAGCTACATAAAAATTTTTTACTGTACCATTTCTTGTGTATAAGGAACCTGTTGGAACAAGTACAATATTTGGTCTTTGGCACGTCTATTTTTTTTTTTTATTTGTTTAATTCGTTACAAGATATTTCGTGCAGGAGGCATTTATTTTTTTTTTTTGGAAATTCTGTAAAATTTCGTATAAACGCTTATGCGAAAACTCCTCAAAAGAACTGGGTCTCGGTTTATTTGATAAGAAAGTTTTATTAGTGGTACCGGTCTGTCTAATTGTTTTAGAGTAAGCAGCAGGCGATGCCAAATCAGGGGGTTTGGGACATGCGCGGCAAACAGTTCTTCACCGGAGTGGAAATCAGAGTCTGGGCGATTGCCTGCTTCGCTCCTCAGCGTACTGTGCGAGAAGATGCTCTTAGGTAAGTCTTTTCAAACGGGATGGATTTCTTTAAGGAGAACATTTGTGTCAAAGCAATTTTTTTCCCCCTCCAGAAAGATTACCTGAATCGTATTAACTGTTATTTCTTTTTTTTTTTTCTCTCCCTGAAAGTAGCCGGGCCTGCCAGTGGCGAGTAAATGAAGTTCAAACTAAATAACGGTTAAGGAAAACGAAATAAAAATGTGGAGCGAGCTTGATTTAATTCGCTATTTAATCTATTCAATTTGAAACACTCTCGGAGGTGTTGGTACATATTTGAAAAATAAAAATATTCCCTTCAGCGATGCCATATACGCAACAGTCGATTTAAATGCATTTTCTTTTACCCTCAGGAACTTCACTCAACAGCTACAGAAGATCTCGAATGACGCAGGCATGCCCATTATCGGTCAGCCATGCTTCTGCAAATATGCGACAGGCCCCGACCAAGTTGAGCCGATGTTCCGTTATTTAAAATCAACTTTTCAATCTTTGCAGCTCGTTGTTGTGGTTCTACCAGGGAAAACACCAGTATACGGTAAGGAAACATAAAACGTAACCAGTTTTGAATTTTGACAAACGTCATTTTTAGCTGAAGTGAAGAGGGTTGGCGACACTGTATTAGGAATGGCCACCCAATGTGTTCAAGCCAAAAACGTTAATAAGACTTCGCCACAAACACTGTCCAATTTATGCCTGAAAATTAATGTTAAGCTAGGGGGAATCAACAGCATTCTAGTGCCATCTATTAGACCAAAGGTAATGTTAGTTATTTCACTGATGACACCGAAGGGGGTTCGTGCAATTAAATTTTAATTTAATTTGGTATTCTGGGTGCCTGGAATTATGGAAATAAGAAAAATCCCTGCCTGCACCCCTGAGCGAGTATTTTTTCTTGACGATGACTTTGCGACGTCAGTTCTCGTTCTCTCATAGTGAAGGAGTTTTTTTGCAAGTTTCTCCCCGTAAATAATTTGTATTTGTTGAGGTTTTTACATACCTAATTAATTTTACTACCCATCATCGATGCGTCTTCCGTGTATAAAACTGATTTATCACATCAACATTTGATTTATTTGTTAATAATAATAATAATATATTTATTATACGTTACCAAAACTGTGATTGTTTTCAATAACCAGGTATTTGATACTGAGGCAAGATTCTGAAGATCACAGTAGCGTTAAAGATTATAACCGACATGACCGCCCTTGTAAACATCGGAAAATGTACCTTCCCCGTTTCGTCGAGAGGTTTGTGGTAGGTACTTAATAACTGTGATTAATTGATGCGTTGATAGTTTGATAAAAGCATTCTGCGGGGTGCGATTATGTTTATAGTATCGTACTTGAATTTCTGCACGTTCGAGAGGCGCGTAAGGTTTGGGAAATGTAATGATAAACACAAGAAGTAGAAATATGCCTTTTTCCCTTACCGTAAACTGTTGTATACTGTTGACTATTCACTGAAAAAAAAAAAAAACGCATAAAAACGCCCCCCTCAATTGTTTTATTCTTTGCAGATATTTAACGAACCGGTTATATTCCTGGGTGCAGACGTGACACATCCACCAGCCGGAGATAACAAAAAACCTTCTATAGCAGCAGTGGTGGGTTCGATGGACGCCCATCCGTCCCGTTACGCGGCCACTGTTCGCGTACAACAGCACCGTCAAGAGATCATCCAAGAGCTCAGCTCGATGGTCAGAGAGCTTCTGATTATGTTTTATAAATCCACCGGTGGTTACAAACCACACCGTATCATTTTGTATCGGGACGGAGTCTCGGAAGGTCAGTTCTTACAGTTGCTGCAGCACGAACTAACGGCTATTCGCGAGGCTTGCATCAAGCTGGAGGCGGACTACAAACCGGGCATAACGTTCATAGTCGTGCAAAAGAGACATCACACCAGGCTGTTCTGTTCAGACAAGAAGGAGCAGAGCGGAAAGAGCGGGAATATTCCGGCCGGTACGACGGTAGACGTCGGGATTACACATCCCACGGAGTTTGATTTTTACCTTTGCAGCCACCAGGGTATTCAGGTGAGTCTTGCGTATGTATAAACTTAAATTCTAATTTTGGTCTGTACTTGGATTTTTGTTTCTATGTTTACCTTTTACCCGTGCAAAAAAATAATAATAATTTAATAACCAACGAATAGGAATGCAAATGTTATTTCTGAGGTTTTTTTTTTTTAGGGTACCTCGAGGCCATCACATTATCACGTCCTGTGGGACGACTCGCATTTAGACTCCGATGAGCTCCAGTGTTTGACGTATCAGTTGTGCCACACATACGTGCGTTGTACACGTTCGGTTTCCATTCCAGCGCCCGCCTATTATGCACACCTGGTGGCATTCAGGGCTAGGTACCATCTAGTTGAGAAAGAACACGATAGGTAGGAACGCTTCTCTTTAAGAACATATCGTATCTGTGTTATTATATGAAACGTCGAGTCCATACCATTTCATGCCCGACAATTTTTTTTTTTTTACGTCACTTGGCATTTCTCCACGCGACTTTCCACAAATTGAGTCTTATTTTGTCTTTATCAAAGGAGATCCTGTTTCGTGGATCGTATTACTGTGTTCTCACCTCTCGTCCGACCACATCCCCTTTATAGAATCTGGTATTGTGTAACAAAAGAAATGAAAAGAAATAAGAAATACACTGGCAATATTTTGCTCTTTTTTTATGTATTATTATGCGATTACAAGTCACGTGACTGTCGAACATAAGCAAGCAACAATTCAAGCGTCAGTATTCCGACCGAGCGCCCGCAGAGTTAAGCTGTGAAATATGTACGATTTAAATGTAAACGCTCGAGATAATCCGATCGCCGATTGGTTGAATGAAACGCCATGAAAAATTACACCAATCGCCGGCCATTCAAAAGAATGTAATCTTCACCTTTTTGTTGTAGAAATTTTTAATCTGACCAAAATTTAATAGCCGACGGGAAGGAAATAAAACTACCGTTTCAAACGGGACCACTGGTTACGTGGCTTGTAGTCAAAGTGCACGCCTGCGATGGGCAAATAACCAAATTTTGTTGTGACACGTTAATTTCTTTTGTAGCGGAGAAGGTTCCCATCAATCTGGATCTTCTGAAGACAGAACTCCCGGGGCGATGGCGAGAGCGATAACCGTACATGCGGACACCAAGAAAGTCATGTACTTTGCTTAAGAAATCCCGCCGAGGCCAAAATCAAAGTACAAGGGATAATAACACCTGCATAGGATTAGTTCACTGTGACCAAAATTGTACGGAAACGGGCGGTATGAAAACGTACCGCAATATGTACGGTGGGTGTGGATGTGTTAATAATAATTATCGCCAATTATTTATATATATATATATATACATATATTTTATATAATCTGAAAGTATGGTACAAATTTTTTGTTTTGTAACGAACGGACCCCCAGGAATATTTTTTATTTTAAGTCTTTATACTTGGAAAAAAGAACTATATTTTTTACTATATCGATTAGAGTTTTAGGATATACAAATTATTAAATTTAATTACTCCCCCAAGGAAAACCTCGGTTTTGCTGGAAGCTAAGGCAGCGGATTTGCGCTACGTAATATTTATCAATGCAATTTAATATATATTGTGTATTAGAAGTCGGCTTACTTGTTTAGGCTACGATGTGAATTTTATGTCGTTAATTTTCTGCAAATTAATCTTTCCCCGGAAGGTATGACAAAAAATTGTTTATAGTGTCCCGTAGAATAAGTAAATGTTGAGGCTCGGTTTATGACGGCCCACTCATCCGAATTCCCTTCATATCAGAAACGTTGTGAATTCCTGTTATTTGCAGAAAAATTTGCAACTTTCACGTTTTTATGCTTGTGATATATATATATATATNTCAAAATGAGGTCTTCTACTGATTCCTGAAGTCCTGCTATTTAAATGTGAGACACCCTGTATATATATATATATATATATATCGAGAGTTCGTTCCAAACACAAGCGTCCATTGTATTTACACAAAAAAAATCTCGACAACTTCAAGAACTTTCTTCCTTTTTTGAAGGTAGAAACCGAGAGTGAAAAACGCAATTTTGCTTTTTTCGAATTCTCCATTTCACCACCTAATCCCATACCAAAGCCTCGATGACTAATCTTTCTTTTTGTCCGTCGTACCCTTTATGTTATTATTATTATTATTATTCATCGTTAATTGGTTACGTTTGTGCGTTAGGTCTCAGAGTAGCGCGTAGAAAAAATGATTCACGTACTTTCCTCCATCCCCTCTTATCTTCACCCCCCATTCCAGTAATGAGTGCAGGCAGGCAGTCTGCATAGTAAATAAGCTTTAATGATTAATTTAAGGTATTATATGTCGTGTCCGTATAGGACAAGATTCGTCTCTTTCCACTTTGGTTGGTAATCCGAGTAGTGAAAGAGCCCTATCGAAATTTTTATCTTCACGTCTGAATCACGTCTCTAAGTAGTCTAATTTAATGTTTAACCACTACCTGTCGCAGTGCCTCTTTTCTTCATGTATTGCCGCAATTGGTAATCCAAAATGCCTCCATTCGAGAGTGTAGTAGATTTACGTAAAAGGTGTCTGGGTGCGCCTTAAGCCCAATATACCGACCGATGTTATGTCGCTTAAATTAGAAGTAGTAAAACAAATTACGGTATAATAGACACACTGGCAGGATTGTTATTTATTTTGACGATTTTTGTTTTTTTTTTTTTTCGTTTCGATTAACTATGAGATATGTAGTTGTACCTTTTTAAAGCTTTGGTTCTTTTAGTGTATAACTAAATTTCAATTGACTTATATTTTTAAATTTACTATATTTTACTTTAAAACGATAATAAATTAGTGCTTTCACAAGTCGTGAACTAAAACTCGCCATTGTTGTGCTTTCTACTAGGTACGTTTACTCTACAGAGTATTTAGGAAAATGCCCTTTATAAAGCCAACATTCGCATCTCTGCATCATTTTTACCAAAAAAAAAATCATTACATGACACGAGAATTCTCCCTCAAATTGACAATGGTGATAACTGTGGCTGAAGCTGTCCCTCTTTGGAATGAAATTCTATAGAAAAGGTACCTTTGTGCTGCCGGGCTTATTAGAAGGTCTGAGGCAAACGTTTCATTTCCCGTGTTAAAAATTTAGAGTGGTGGCAGTGTCAAAAATAACTAGCACTGATCAGTAATGCCACAGCACTTTTTTAAAACGAACCGCATCACATGTACAGATAACATTATATTTTTCGTTGATCATTTCTGTCTAGTTCGTTATTGGAAAAATCTAGGTATGAATCTATCACTATCTTCCAAATTTTGGTGAGCTCCTCCGTACGTTCACGATTAGTGTTTATTAAAATTAAAAATGCCTTGCTGTACCGAGCCGCCGTTAAACAGCATCCCACAACGGCCCTTAATATAGAACACTAAGTGCCTTGTATTACCGACGGACCACGTTTCGACATCTGTTGACGTACAGAATTAATTGGGCGGTAAATTTAAATTGCTTAGAAGTATTAAAAAAAAAAAAAATGCAGCTTTAAACGCAATAAGTGAAAAATGAAAGGAAGCACGTGTTGTAATGACTTTTTTCGGTTAAAACGATGCAAAAAAAAAATCTTTTAAATTAATTATTTTTATGCTCGGCACAGTTTTCTTTGTACTTGTGTTCAATAACGGTCTGTCGTAAATTAAATTTTTTATTTAGCAAAATGCTTGTATAGTTTTTTATATACTTTTAAAAACTGTCGAAATTGCGGCATTACTGAAAGGCGACTTTATAACTGGGTTAGCTTAATGTGAATGCTCCAAAGATTTTAAATTATTCAGTAGAAGTGTGATGTACATGTTTTGTACACAGAAAAGAAAATGGAATTAAAAATGTTTTTGAACGTGTGAGTGCGCGTTTGTGTGTGTGTGTGTACACTGTGCGGAAAGAAAATATCTCTTCCGTCGTTTTTTTATGGCTAACTGTGTTTGAGATTATTGATGAATTGTATTTGAGATCAAATTAAATGTTTTCCAAATAGAAATCTTTGGAAAAACATGATTGTCAGAAAAGATGGTCTTGTCGAAATGAGAAAAGGGTACCTATAGTTTTATTTTGAACATTCTTTTGTCTAGGGGTAATTCATAAATTATCGATGCTGTTGGCTGTTGTCTTTACTTATTTTTTTAGTCTGCTAACCTGTTAAAAATTATTAAGATAAACTTACTAAGTTCCTTTTTTGCAACAAGCAAATGAAAAAAGTGTCAAACATTATTCGTGAGCGTAACGGGAATGTTTATATATTCTTTTTCTACTACTTTATGAATACGTAATGCGACGTGGTTAGCAAAGGCGGTACAATTTATACGTAGTTGTCATTTTTATTCCTGTTCGAGTAGAAAAGTATCTATAGAAATTGATTTGAAGAAAGGATTTAGAGCAGAAGTCTTATTTTAACAAGTTGCTTCACTGTCCGAAATATTTCCCGATATTTCTCTCTCTGGTAGAGTTTAAGGAATTATAATCGTTCCTTCTAATAGTTACTCGTCATATGACTAATTTGTCAAAAATTGTTAAAATTAAAGAGGAAAACATACAAAAATGAGGCATAATATAAAATTCTGTAATTTACCAAAACCTTGACGCTTCTCGTTACAGAAATGGCAAATAATCGTCCATGTCTGAACATATTTTATGCTTATAGATTTGGCATTATTGGAATACGTATAGTATGGATGTCGGCAAATTAGTAAATCCCCCGTAAAGTTGACGGTAGCAAGTTTTTTCTTAATTTTGCAACAAAAGGGATTGTTATACCTATTATATAACTTTTTTTTTTATCATGACTGTTCCGATTTTACACTTTCCTATGTAATAGCGACAATAAAACGTAGGTATTTGCAAAACGCAATAATCCAATAGATCGGGCAGCTTTCGTCTTTTCAGTTTACGGATTATAATTACATTCAACACGAAATAATTCGTGTTCACTTTTTCTTCTCCGATCCAAGAATGCCTTATTTTTGTATCGTGTTGATCGCCCACTGTGAAAATTATTAATATTTTCATAAATATCAACGTATGTACATATGAATATATCCTGTTTTTTGTTTTTTCTCTTCATTATTTAACTACTACCGTTCTTTTATTCTTTTATCATTGATGTTAACGGACTATTATGAACTGGTGTGAAACAAATAGGTAACTTTTATTCATTACGATAATCGTGATTGTGTAATTAGCAAGTTATAATTGTCCGTTACGTTCAGTTTAGAATGTCCTCGCCAATTCCTAAACTAGCCAATTTATTTGTATTATGTTACTTACTGATTATTTGTTATTATTGTACACTCCATTAGTTTATGCAAGAAATAATGTAAGCTGAAATTAGATTATAATAATTGCGTTTAGTCACGTTGATTGCATATCATTTTATTTATTAAGGAGAGCCAATAAATATCTTTGTGAACCTTTAGGTAGCGGCTTTTGTTTTTCGAATTTTTTTTTTTTTTTTTTAAATTAAATGTAGAATATGTCGAAACGGCAGGAATTTTATTAGTTTACATTTAAGTAAGGCTTCATTATGCAATTAATTTACAATGTAATTTTGTCCCGAGTAAATTATTATTAGTTAACTGTTTGTTTTTGTTTAATTGCGAAAACTTTGCCTCGTCGCATTAAGGACAGTGTCTTATAAACGGCAAATCTCACTTTTAGTGAGAAAGTCTGTCTGTTGCACAAGGAAATCGCCATCTCTTCGACAGTATCTAAACTATGGGAATGTTTAATTTTTCACAGAAATCGTAACCACCCACGTTAACGTCGGAAAATATGCGTGTCCTATTTTGTTGAGTTTGTACTTAATAATTATAATTAATTTGTGAAGCGAAAGAGTCTGCATCTAAAGATACGGAAAAGAAGAAACTAGGTACTGCCTTGGAAATACTAATGTGGATGTAACGGAGCTGTTTTCAGATTTTCGCCGTGGAAAGGTACAACTCCAAATGTAGTCAGGTTGTTGTAGGTCGTTGTAGGCCGAATATTTGGAAGAACGTGAAAGAAACCGAAACACAAAGAGAGCACTAGCCGGCACGGTACAGGTTCAAATTCCGATGGTAACGAGTCGAAACACCGTTGGGAGTGATAATGAGGCAAGTACCAAGAATTACACTTATAAAAAAGTCTCTTGAGGGAAAGAACGATACGGGATCGAAAGTGGCAGATTGGAGGTTCGGGCTGGCGTAGATCTGGTATGATACGTTAGAGGTTCCAGAAACGGGAGATGGTTTTAACTATGAATTAAAAATTAAAGAATGAATGGTATGTCACACGTATATTTAAATTTTCTTTTTACGTTTACGGAGGCGTTACTTTGTTGGGACTCAAATTCTAAATAAAGA